GCAGTTACACTAACAAAAATGCTGCAAAAAACAAAGAATTATGGAAAAATTACACATGGACTAACATAGAGGAGGATCTACACAAGTTTTTTACATCATGTTTTACATCATGCATCATTTACATCATGTTTTTTTGTAGTGGCATAAATAAAAAGTGACATTTGTGAGACTATACAGTGTTTTGTAAATAATTTAACAAAGAACACCTGGGCCATTGCCTGCATTTTGATGTCAATAGAGGTAAATTACTATGTTCTTTGTTAAAAATTTGCATATGTTTTGAAGTTTACAATTTTTATTTGAAGTTTAAGTTTTAAAAACAGTTCATCACACATATTTGTGGTTTTCACAGTAAAAACGTTACTTTTTTCCACTCGGATTTTATGTTTTGTGTGTGAATTTGGGTCCAATGTGTAAATATAGTATGTCAAAATGATAAAATAACTGTAAATTGACACAGGTGAGGTTGTGCTGAAAAAAATGATACCAGGCAAGGCAAGGTAAAAATTTTGTAAGAGGAAATATAAAGGTAAAATCTAAAGTAGTCAAAAACGGCCAATAGTGACTCACAGACTCCACAGACAAGTCCCTTTGGCGCCACTCAGTGGGCAAAACTACTTTGTCTACTGTAATGTATATTTGGGTCATCTTTGGCGCCCCCTAAAACGTAAACCGTGGGGTGCAGCGTCATGATTTTTACAACTTTGAATGGCCATGGAGTGTAGATTGGCCTGAGCAAATTTGGTGTCAGTGGGACGAAAGCCTTAGGAGGAGTTAGCGAAATTCCAATGTGTGCGAATCGGCAAAAAATGCAAAATAGCCCTTTTACCGTACATTATACAGATACGCGCTCTTTGACTTTTTCGTAGATCTAATTGAGATACACATGATTGTCAATTTTTGTGTCATTTTGCCAAAGCGTACAGGCGTGACAGTCAACAATGTGTATTTTCACCTTAGGGGACAAGAAAAAATGGACTTTTTTCTCCTGCCATGGGGGGGGCGCTCTTTTGGGGAGTAAAAATTCCTTCACAAATGTGTTGATGGCTGGACATTGCATCATCCTAGAAAACTTGGAGGCCAGTGAGGACAAAAATAAAAAGTTATAAGACTTTTAAAAATGTGGATTTTTGGGTTATCTTTGGCGCCCCCTAGAACCTAAACCGTGGGGTGCAGCGTCATGATTTGAATTATTTTTAATGGCCATGGGGTGTTATTTGGCCTGAGCAAATGTGGTGCCGGTGGAACGAAAGCCTTCGGAGGAGTTAGCGAAATTCCAATGTGTGCGAATCGGCAAAAAATGCGGAATAACCCTTTAACCGTACATTAGAAAGATACGCGCGCATGGACTTTTTTGTAGATCTTATTGAGATACATGTGTGTGTCAATTTTTGTGTCATTTTGACAAAGCGTACAGGCGTGACACTCAACAATGTGTATTTTCACCTTAGGGGACAAGAAAAAAATGGACTTTTTTCTCCTGCCATGGGGGGGCGCTCTTTTGGGGAGTAAAAATTCCTTCACAAATGTGTTGATGGCTGGACATTGCATCATCCTAGAAAACTTGGAGGCCAGTGAGGGCAAAAATAAAAAGTTATAAGACTTTTAAAAATGTGGATTTTAAGGTTATCTTTGGCGCCCCCTAGAACCTAAACCGTGGGGTGCAGCGTCATGATTTGAATAACTTTTAATGGCCATGGGGTGTAGATTGGCCTGAGCAAATGTGGTGCCGGTGGAACGAAAGCCTTCGGAGGAGTTAGCGAAATTCCAATGTGTGCGGATCGGCAAAAAATGCGCAATAACCCTTTAACCGTACATTTGACAGATACGCCCGCACTGACTTTTTTGTAGATCTTATTGAGATACATGTGTGTGTCAATTTTTGTGTCATTTTGACAAAGCGTACAGGCGTGACAGTCAATAGTGTGAATTTTCACCTTAGGGGGCGCTATGGAGCCATTTTGCATTTTCTTGTTTGGGCGACTTCGGAATATCAAATTTTTCACCAGGCCCGGTCGTCCTGCCAAATTTCCTGAGTTTTCGCCAGTGGGAAGTGGGCCATTTTCCAGTTCAAAGGGGAGGAAAAAGAAAAAAGAAACAAAGAAAAACCACTTGGGGAATAATAGGGCTCTCGCAGCTGCTTAGCAGCTACGCTCGGGCCCTAAAAAGAAACAAAGAAAAACCACTTGGGGAATAATAGGGCTCTCGCAGCTGCTTAGCAGCTACGCTCGGGCCCTAAAGAAACAAAGAAAAACCCCTTGGGGAATAATAGGGCTCTCGCAGCTGCTTAGCAGCTACGCTCGGGCCCTAATAATAACAAAAGAAGGAAACTACAGGAACAAGAGGGCTCTCGCAGCTGCTTAGCAGCTACGCTCGGGCCCTAAAAAACCACTTGGGGAATAATAGGGCCTACGCCCGGCTGCTCTGCAGCTGGCTCGGGCCCTAAAGAAAGAAGAATCCATCAGGAATAATAGGGCTCTCGCAGCTGCTTAGCAGCTACGCTCGGGCCCTAATTAATCAGGCTAACAGAAAACATCCCAGAAAGACAATATGAACAGTTTCAGGTCAGCATCCCGGTTTCTAAACTGCTTCACAGATTGTATGACTGCTGCTGCATTAGGTATAATATGTAGTCTGTTATTCTGGTCTCAAATACTTCTTATTAAAGGGTAAAGGAAATATAATTGTGCCACTGGAAATTATGGCCAAATTATGCTTTTTCCAGTGCAGCCAGCTGTTAACACTTGTTTTTCTGCACACTAAATAATTTACAGGCCAAACCTTCAAACCTGAGAGTGGATTGTGCATTCAGAGCAAAGAGAAAATGTTATTTAGTTAGTTATTTAGATATTATTTATTAGTTTATTTATTGTTTATATTTAAGTTACTAATTATTTAGTAGTCATGTGCAATATCATCATCACCACATCCATACCTGTTTTTTGTTGGCACTGATCTTTTTTTCTCTTTTCTATATTTTTCTTTTACTTGTCTTTAATACTGTTCTTCTCTTGTACTACTCTCTTCTTTTTCACACTCGTTCTTTTATCTTTTTTTTGTTTGTACCTGGTGTGAATGTGTATGTTCTGTGTACTGCTGCTGTTAACAATTTTGATTTCCCCACTGAGAGATGAATAAAGGAAAATCAAATCGTATCTAATCTTAGATACATTCACAAAAGAAACATTGCTTCATCTCTTTCATGGGAGTATCTTTTTCACTGTAAACAAACTTACAAAAGCTTCTCTTTCCACTGCTTCAAAGATAAAAATCCGCAAAAGAAATGTAAAACAAACTCAGCTGACTAATAGTATAAGGTCCTCACCGTCACAGTGTCCATCACTTTCTCCTTCAGGTTTGTCATAACGCAACTTCACAGTGGGACGATCAGACCAATACTGGAGTGAGTTTTACTCTAAGTCAAACAGATTGCAGTCTGATGTTTTGTCAACATCAGACTGCAATCTTATTTTCTCCTAGGAGTTAATTGCATTTTAAGGGCTTTTTTTTCCTGTCAACATCTGTCCATTAAAGGAGTGTCAGGATTTTCTCCTCATGATTATTTAATATCACAATACCAATGTTACCCTATATAAATAGAGAGCTTGAAAATAATCAGTCTAACTGAGGAAAGGCAGGATGTTAGTGGATCAACACATTACTTCATAAACTTTACTAATAAACACAACCAGTTTACATGTCATCATCCATTTTCATACAGCCCTGAGGTTGAACTTTCTTGGGACACATTACCTCATAAAATGGTTGTTTCTCATGGTTTTATTTTGCCATTTTCTTTGTGTTGAGATTGCTCTGTTTGCTGTGTTGTAAAACTGTGCTTTTATTTTAAAGTTTTCCACTTCAGGTATATCATAGGTTAGTTTACCACCACCAGGGTGTGACTGTGTGAGTGAATGAATGATAAATCCAATGTAAAGTGCTTTGAGGGTCGCTGGTGAAGCGCTGTATAAAATCTGATCAACCAAGTAAATCAAAATAATTAACATCTATGAAGTTACTTAATAACAGCAAATACTACAGAGAAATAAAATGTCCCTAAAATTTTTAATAAAATTTGGTTCTTGCCTATGAAAAACAAATAGACTTTATTTTATTTGTTAATATAAATATAACTTAAAACTTGGATGTATTTACGTAAATGTTACTTAAAAACTTTAAAACTTTTATGTTTTATGGAAAGAAAGATTTACTTGATAATGGAAAGTGAGTGTTACTTGTGTTGCAGCATAAAATTTTGCTTAAATCATTTGCATGCAATTAATGCAGGTAATTATCAGTTCCGTGTTCAGCATTTCAGCTTCCTGTGGTCATTGCTGCACTGACCTAATTTCACCACAGGGTGGCGCCAAAATGCAAAAAAAAATCTTCAATCATTATTTTGTGGTTAAGTTTCATCCAGTCCTAAATCCAGGAGCAAATTTCACTCATTGTTTAACTAATTCAGACATAAATAATGAATAAAAACTATTTTCTTAAGGTGTTTTATTTTTTTATTTATTCTTTTTTACCAATAAGGAAAGGCATGCTTGTTTTCAACATCTTAAATATTAAGGTGGGTAAAAACAAAAACTGTAACTCTTTCTTTAAAAAAAAAACAAAAAAAAACATGCACTTTCAGTTTGTCACAAATTTGATTTCTTCATTTTGAGTCTGAAACCCTGTAGTGGGTTTCATCTGCCCAGCCCTTTACAGCAGTTTTATCTAGAAAGAGGATTTTTGTTTCATGTATCATAAGACTCAGAGAGTCTTAACAACAAAAAGGAACCTGTACAGTGAAAATGTATCAGAGTAATCAGCAAATGGAGCTACTCTACAAACTAAAACCTTATACCCGACAGTAAGAAGAAAAGCTGGACATGAAGTTCTTAAGTTTCACATTTTAGCTGCTCCACCTGTGTACAATCAGGTCGTCAGGAACAGAGCGCTGTGATTGGCTGACAAACGCTTTAAAACTGGTGTACTGCAGCCTCTAAAACACTGCACCTCTGTGGTTTCTGTTGGGTCAGCCAAAGAAGATTGCGGCTTCTCAGTTTGTGTTGGATCAGAACTCTGGCTGGAGACATGGGACGTTCTCTACGGTAACTTTGAACTCTTCTTTTAGTGTTTAAGATGTTTAAAATCACTGCTGAGCCATGCTTGTTGTTGTGTTTTCAGAGTGGTGTTGATCTGGCTGATGCTTGTTGGAGAGCTTTACGCACTCAAATGTGAGTACGAAATGTTAAACCTGCACATTTATGTAGTAGTACAGAAATATTGACCATGTACCTTGTAGGATTTTTGAGGGTTCAAACTTAAATCTCTAGATGTTTTTTCCTCCTTAGCTGTATCTAAAGCCAAGGCTCCCAGCGTCACACCCAAGACTCCGCCTAAGGCCAACATGGTTGCCTTCCAGCCCAGGCCTGTGTTCCGCCAGTATGTGACTCAGTACGAGCCCGCACCTCAGCCCCAGGTCCAGGTGTTTCAGTACGTGACTCGGCCTCAGGCCCAGGTGGTCCAATCCCAGCCTCTACTTCAGCGCCAGGAGCCCTACTACCATCCTGTACCCTTGGTTCAGCGCCAGCCCCAGCCTGTGGTCAAGCACCAGGTGATCCTTGTTCAGCCCCAGCCTGTGGTTCAGAGCAAACCCCAGCCTCTGTTTCAGCGCCAGGAGCCTTACTACCACCCTCAGCCTGTGCTCCAGCGCCAGCCCAGGCCTATGGTTCAGCGTCAGGTGATCGTCCTTCCCCAGCCCATGGTTGAGAGCCAGAGCCAACCCCAGAGTGTGCTGAAAAGTGTTGTACCCCACAGCCTTCCTCTGGTTCAAACCCACCATCTGGTGCCCCGCTACTCCAAGCCTCTGCCACAGGTGTCTATCAGCCAGCCCAAGGTTCTGGTCCAGCCTCAGGCCCCCAGCTACCAGCCCCAGATGCCTCAGGTCCAGCCTCAGGCCCCTAGCTACCAGCCCAAGCTGCAGCCCCAGATGCCTCAGGTGCAGGCCCAAGCTCCTCAGTTCCAGGCTCAGGCCCCCCACTAGATCACATGGTGCAGCTTACAAGGCCAGTAAAGTGATTTAAAAAAAAAAAAAGTGAAATAAATGCTTAACACTATCTCCACTGTCTCTGGTTTTCATGCAGCCTGGTCTTAAAGTTCGCTAAATTGAAGTGCTCGGCTCATGTTTGCAAACTTTCTGACGGTACTAAAGCCTTTGCATCCCATATTTCATGACTTGCTACGGTTAAGTAGACTATAAAAGTGCCCTAGTAAAAAAAAGCTGCCAGATACTGGTTTACTGCCTCTACCAACTAAGTAGCTCTAAAGGGGTTAAAAGCTCAGGTTGTTGGTGGTGACCTTCTCTGTATTAACTCCATCTTGACCAATGACTAAATTAGATGACCAAAAATGACCAACGTGGTAGTTTTGGCACTGTGGGCAGGTGCAAGCCCTCCTGCGGTGCGCTAACAACTCATGTTAGACTTTGGCCTAAAGATAACATTGAGACTATCTAGATTAAGACTTAACATTTAAATTTAATCATTTAGATGTATTTATATTTAGGTTCTAGATTTGGATCAACTGACAATTCTAACTGAAACATCTTTCTGGTTTAAATCATGACCAATACATGAAAAATTATCCACACGTGCAGAGAATAAGCTAAATGTGGAAAATATGTTTAAAGATTAAAATAAACTACTTGCAAATGGTACACTAAAAATGTTGATCCTAATGCTACATGTTTATCAAAGGTGTCTAGCGTCTGCAGCGTGGGACTTGCCTCCGTCAAGGAGGTTATGTTTTCAGTAACGTTTGTCTGTTAGCAACTTTACGGAGAAAGTTACAGATGGATTGACCTGAAATTTTCACCAGAGGTGCGTCTCAGGAATTTTTTATCATTGCGAGAGAGGGCAAATTTTTGCATTTAACTCTATAAAAATGGCCAGAGTCTTTAGTAAAAAATTACACAAAAGGATCTCGATGACTTTTATGAGGTGTCAAAGGTTGATCCTGATCCAGACAAAATTCCGGATACTGTGATCCAGAATACACAAAAATAAGGGTGTTGTTGGAATTTTCAATGCTGAAAGATAACCAATGAAGATACAAGGAAGTGTACGCTTACAAATATTGCATAATAAATCACTCATTTATGTATCTAATATGAGCTTTGTTGTTTTAGGAACATTATGAACAGTGAACATACCAGTTTTAACACAAATAAACGTTAATAAAAGACATGTAACAGTAAAAGTTTTGGTGTGAATCACAATATAAGGGGGGACATGAGCTGCTTGGTCTGCGCTCTCCAAGTGCTTTTCTAGTAGAGATTTAGATTTAGAATGTAGATTTAACAAATTTAGAAAAATCATTTAGGTTTAGTTGAATTTAAACTTAACATATAAATTTATTATTCAGATTTAGAGATATAATTAAGGTTGAGATTGAGTATTAATATTCTTTTTTATTTGGAGGTATCACTGAGATTTAGATCTAGAATTTAAATTTAGATTTTACATTTAGATTCTGACAAATTATTTAGGTTTCGTTAAAGTATTTGGATTTAGACTTGAAATTCAAATTTGTTTTTGATTGAAATATATGATTTAGATTATGATCAATTATTCAGATTTGGATTTATGACTTGATTTAGTTTTAGCATTTTGATTTAATATTTGGATTCAGATGTTATTCAGATTTAAGTTAGGCATTTTGATTTAGATATAACATTTAGATTTAGATATATTAAGGTTTAGATTGAAAGCTTAAAATTATTATATTGAGCATTTAGGTTTAGATAAAACATTCAACATATGATTTTAGATTCAGATTAATGGTTTTGATAAAGATTAAATTATTACATTATAATATTTTATTTAGGTTCAAATTAGGTATTTAGATTTAGATTTAACATTAAGATTTATTTTTAGATCTAGATTAAGTTTTTATATTTAGATGTATCATTGAGATTTAGATGTATCTTGAGTGAGGTTGTGGATGGCCTTGAATGTGTGGAGCAGAAATTTGTTAGCCAAAGTAGTATTTGATGGGAAGCCAGCGAAGCTTTTGGAGAACAGGTGTGGTGTGACTGATAGATGGTGTTCTGGTGATGATACAGGCGGCAGCATTTTGGACCAGTCGAAGCTTATGGATGGACTTATGGGGGAGACCAGTAAGAAGAGAGTTGCTATAATCCAAGCAGGATGTAGCCAGAGTATGGACCAGGATAGCGTTGCTGTTGGGGGTGAGTGATGAACAGAGGTGCTTGATGTTTCGAAGATGGAAGTTAATGTGAGTTAGGAATGAATGCTGTCCAGGGCGACACCCAGACTCTTGACCTGAGGGAAGGGGGAAACAAAGGAATTGTCAATGGGGAGCTGGGAGTGTTACTGAGGGTGGATCTGGTGCCAATGAGGAGAACCTCAGTTTTATCAGTTAATTTTGAGAGAGTTGGATGTGAACCAAGATTTGATTTCCTGTTCGAATTTACAGACACCAGAAGAGAGGAGAGATGGTTGGGATTTACAGCCAGTGGAGTAAGAAGTGAACCAGTCCAGGGTTGTGTTTTTTTTTCTTTTTACAATATATTTATTGGATTTCCATTTTTAAAAAGTACAAAGAGGAACAAAAGACACCAGAGGTGTGAAAAAAAATGGTCCCATGGTACAGAAGTGCACATACATATATCATCAGATCAAAGTTTCATGCTATGCACACTTAAATAGGCAGTTGCTGCGTCCGAATTGCCAAGTAGTAGTCGAAGTAGTAGTCGAAGTAGTATGTAGCATGTCCGAATTGGCCACCAGAGCGAGTAGCATGCTACATCAGATACTTCTTCAGATACTAGACATGCCAACATTGTAGTATGGTCGCGGTGCATCCTACAGGCATGCTACTGACCCAAAATGCACCACATTCTTCATCCTCTTAAAAGTTGTAGAAGCGCATATGATGCTAGCGCCATCAGCTGCTGCCTATTTAGATGCGTCGCGAACGCCGGCTGGCCACAGCAGCGCCCACCATGGCGGAGCAGCAGCAACAGGCAGGACCGCAGCAGTACAGATGTAAGTTTCATGTAACTTCACACACTGTCCTAAAAAATGTGCAGTTGTATCTCTTTGTCATGTCATGGTGTCATATTTGTCCAAGTAATCATTTTATGAGTAAATATGTGGCAACATCATGGAGATAAAGCTCACTTATTCCATTAGTGGTGTGTCGGTCTTGAACGAACGGATCAAAAGAACTAGTTCTTTTTGGTGAATGAAATGAACGAGGTCACCCCCCCTAAATAGTCCGTTTAGTTCTTTTGATTGGCTGAAGAGTCAGTTCACCGTTCCTTAGGGCGGGACTATCTCCATGCTTGCCTGTCTTATCCTATTGTCGCGCCTCGCCCTGTGTGCCTGTGTGGGGGTGGGGCTTAGAGAAGCAGCAGCAGTACTATTGAGCTGACTGAAAGACCGGCATGACCAAATTAACTGAAAGAACGAGTTGAACGAAAGACCGAGTTGAACGAAAGACCCGGACCGATGAACGACTTGACTGAAAGACCGAGTTGACTGAAAGATCCAGAACCGATGAACAAGTTGACTGGAAGACCAAGTTGAACGAAAGACCCAGACCGATGAACGACTTGACTGAAAGACCCAGTTGACTGAAAGATCCAGAACCGATGAACAAGTTGACTGGAAGACCAAGTTGAACGAAAGACCCAGACTGATGAACGACTTGACTGAAAGACCCAGTTGACTGAAACACCTGGACCGATGAACGAGTTGACTGAAAGACCCGGCCCGATGACTGACTCGGTCTCTGTCTTTTCAGTCAGCTCGGTCTGACCGAGAGATTGACCGACTCTCAGACTGACTGAGTACAAGCGTTCACTCTCTGCGAGGTGCTGTCAGCCTGTCACTAGCCGACCGACTTGTGAACGCAATGGGATGTACTGAATAAAATAAACTATAAGGCAGTCTCTTGCGGGGGGGTATCTGTACTCATGAGTCCAACAAACAGTGCCGCGGCTGCCGCACAAGCCGACAGCCGAGCCCGAGCGAGCGGGACAGTCACACACACACACAAAAGCACACAGCTGCTGCTGCAGCCAGAGGCAGAGAGACAACTATTAAACAATAAAACGAAATAAGAATGAATAGAATTGTGTGTGTGTGTTTGTGTGTGTGTGTGTGTGTGTGTGTGTGTGTATAAATATATATATATATATATAGAGAGAGAGAGAGAGACTCCGTTCGCTCATCACGTTCATTCAGCGTCTGAACGAATATGAACAACATGAACGAACGGACTGACTAACGACCGATTGACCGAAATGACGGAAATGAACGGGTCTTTTTACTGAACGACCCGGAATGATCCGGTTCACTGAAATGAACGGTTATGCCCACCACTATATTCCATCATTAAACTGCACAGCTGCAGTAATCAGGCAGATCTCATTGAACAAACAACTCACCACGTGAGTGAATGAAGGCTAACAGTAATGGAAAAGCTACTTTGTGAATTTCTAAAGCAGTGCAGGAATATAATACAGCAGCATCCATCACTTGCACAATTACCATTCAAAGAGTCTAAAACTGTGTCCCATTTCAGAGACTGCGATGTGATGTCGAACAGCGCATTTGAAGCATGCATGATGTCATCACGCGGCGCGAACGATGTCCCATTTGGCACATTTTTCAAGCGTGCATTTATGCACGCTTTTGTGCCGTTGGTATCCCAGAATTCTTTGCGTGTCGCTGCACAGCTGCGCAATTCAGGCGAGAGGCTGGACTCAGAGCAGTGGATTAAACAGAGTGGCGACAACTTTAGATCTCGCCGCCGGAACGGTCACGTGGTTCATGTACCTCTCAAAGGTTCCATGCGCAGCCTGCACTGTCCATGCTCTTCAACAGGACAGATGGCAGTGAGCGCGCATTTAAGAGGTAAATATTAAAATTAAGCGTAAAAAGTCAACATTTGCAACTCGTATTGGATTACTGTGTACACATCAAAGTCACTTATGTATATTTAGTGGCTGGATGACAAATAAAATTGAAATAAGACAAGTTTGGTAACAGGTGTTACTTTTTAATAAGACAAAACAATACAACAAAGAGT